TTTTTATTTTATTTTTAGCATATGGACTCATAGCCCACCCAAATTTACTTACCCCACCCCCATAATTCTGTTTCAAACCCCCATTTTGTTTATTACTGCAATTCCTATTTTTGTTTGATGGTTTAGAACAAATTTTTTTCATCTTGTTTACATTCTCTATAATTAAATAACAAAATATATTTAGAATTAGTTTGCTAATTTCCTTTTAATATTTTATATAATTAAATACAAAAAAGACACATTTAGAATTAGTTTTTTTTTCTCTTAATATTTTCTTTAATTAAAAATACAACAAAAAGATATATTTAGAATTAGATTTTAGTTTTCTCTTAATATTTTCTTTACTTAAAAATCATTAAAAAAATTAGAATATTTTAGAAGTAGGTTTCAATTTACTTTTGAATTCATTATTTAACTTGATGAAAACCATAAAATATTTAGAATTTAAGTTTCTTTTACTTGTTCAACTCTTGATACCATACTCCCTTAGGATAATAGTTTCCTCTTCTTTAAGATGCAAACTAATTAGACTTTAGGTTAAGAACCCATGCATGATAACATTAGGGTTCTTCTAGTCTCCTTCTTAAACCTTTTTTCTTCTTTTGTAATTAAAAATTCTCATTCACAAATCAAAAAAATCCAAAACATTTAATCATTATTCAAATTCATTTTAAAACTCGCAAAACACTCAACCAATAAAAACCTCCCCAAAAGGTCATGTTATCTCCATTATACCACGATATAGGCCATGCTTATTGCTAGAATGCTTGTGTTAACATTGCCCACTAAAAAACACCAACAAACCAACATTTTCTAGAAGAACTACGGTGTTCTGATTCCTTCACTGGATACGTAAGCAAAGGGTTACGAGACCCTCACGAACGCACTAATAAAAAACCTTTTCTTTCCCCTTAGCAAGTATAGTTATAGATAAACACACCCTTATAAGCAAACAAACAAAATAGATCCCATTGAGTACAGCGGATGTGAGTGGTGCTAATACCTTTCCCTTGCATAATCGACTTTCGTACCCTTTCTCTTGGTCGTAAGACAATTTTATCCATCCTATTATGGTTTTCTCGATATTTCCCCTTCCTTCAGGATAAAAAAAGTTTGGTGGCGGCTCTGTGTTTTTTGCCGATAGCTTCAGTATGCATATGATATTGAAGTATAATCCAAATAGGGTTGGAATGAAGAGGGTAAATTTTAGGGTACATCAGTTGCCCCTATTCAATCATCTTAAACCTATAAGCGATATTAGCGTCAGCCTTTCAAGCAATAAGGTATAAGGGGATTGAATATAAATATGAATACAAAAATTTGCGCTCTACATTAGGACAAGGTGAATCAACATTGGTGACTGTATTTCAATAGCTTTGTGGTATCAAACCAAAATATCGAATCTGCAAACATGGAGGAATAGTGAACACTAAACCCTTATCAAAGAATTCCAGTGAACACTGGACTTGAAAAACGAGGCCAATAAAAATTGGACTCGACCCAAGAAGACTAGTAAACACTAGACTCAAAAGATACCAATAACCATTGGATCTAAAAGAGTATGCCAGTAAACAATGGTCTCGATCAAAAAAGGAACAGTGACCATGAAACCAAATCATTAGAATGTTGGCAGAACATTGGGGGTCGACTAAAGGTAACGTGTGACCACTCAACTTTAGGAGTACTACAAATAATGTTCCAAGAAACAATTAGATCACAAATGAAGCAACAAGTGAACGCTCGAATTTAAAAGGGACTAAAAACCACTAGACCTAAGAGTACTCAATCGAATACCAATGAACATTGGATCCAAAGCAAGGTAAATACCTGCTAGTCTCATCTGGAGAGAACCAGTGACCACTGAATCTAGACAAGGGATAAAAGAGACAAAGAGGCAAGTGAACACTTGACTCAAGATGACTAGTGACCACTAGACTCTAAAGAATACCAGAATAACATTGTATTCAAAATCGGGTAACAAGTAACGAACTTCACCTTAAAAGGAACTGGTGACCACCAAACCTAAAAATGTTACGCCAGGAAAGAATTGGCTTCCCAATAAGGCAACGAGTGAACACTAGCTTCTAAACATAGGGACGCTAGTGAATAGTGAACGTGAAACGAGGTACCAATGAACATTGGATCAAACCAAAAGGAGACTAGTAAATACTAGATATAACAAAGAACAATTAGTGAACATTGATTGTGAGAGAGTTGTAAAGAGGTGATATCATAGGATAAGTAATCTCTAGAGAGACCTACTGGGAGTATTATGGGATATCTGCGGGGATTAGTAAATCACCGGGTATATCAAGAAATTGAGTGACCTCACTGGGGATGAAGGAAATAAAATTGGCTTATTCTTCGATGCATATTTGAACCTTTCTATGGAGTAATGTTCCAAAATGAATGGAAACACTACATATTTAAGTAGATGCAATGTAATCATGCATGATTTTGTCGGGGAAATAAAGAGATACAAGGAATTGCTAAGGAGAAGCCCTTGAAAATCTGAAATTTCGTGAGGAATAACAAATTGAATAGCCAATAACCATAGTCTGAACTCAGAAATTGCAAAAATAAATTACAAACTTTGCTGGAGAGAATCAAAACACATTGCAAATTCTGAGCGAGGATGCCAATGAAGATTGGATGTTGATGAGGGATACCAATAACCATTGGGTCTGCGGGGAATAACTTGTCAACCTCTTTGCTGGGGATGAAGTGATTTCTTGAACAAAAAAATGGGTTTGAATTCTCCTTATTTGTGTAATTCGCATGTGCACTTGCGAGTTTTGTCCCGGTAAGATTTCTTTGGTCCATATTACTTCAATTTGCCTATATATTGAGTCTACAAACCATTTTATTGTCCATCACAAACCAAAACCAGAAATGACACAAACATATCCACACATTGCTTTTGTCTACTTCAGTGGTGCGCAGTTGCCACTTTAATTCAGGTTCTCGGAGGATAAGTCGTTCACAAAGCTCATCACAATTTTACATTCTCTCTTGCGGTATCCAGAGAATCGAAAGGTGGTCAAGTTTAAGTATTGCTCACCTTCACTTGACACTGAAGGAAAAGTAAAGTTCAACCCATTTCACCTGAAGAACGACAGTGATTTAGAGGTTATGTGGGATATCTTTCAACAATACTCTACAAAGGGTCCGATTAAGATGGATGTGACGCTTCATAGATCGGCAGAAAATGTTACCAAGATGTTGCGTTGTCCTCAACTTCCCGTTTATAATAATATGTAACTTTAATTTTCTGCATAACTATTTATGTAATTTCTTTGAATTATGTTGAATGAATGTTATGAATTGTGTTGAATATTTTTTATTGATTTTGCCCAGACAAAAGTTCGCATATGCACTTACGAAATCTCCTAACAGGTGAATTCGTACGTACACATACGAAGTAAATCAAATAATTCACATTAAGGGTATGTTTGCAAGTGCACTTGCAAATTTTGAAGATATCTTAAATTTTTCATCAGAGGTCTAAAAGAAAACCACTAGGTAAGAAAAGAAATTTTCATCTCTTAATATCTTAGAGTTAAATAGTTTAAATGATTTTTTTCTATGTAACATAAAAAAGATAATTATTTTGCATATAGATTAGTTAATATTGGTATAAACTTGCATTCCCTCACCATTTGGTATTAGTTACCTCTTGTTATTAGGGATACCTTCATTAAAAACAAACTAGGTTTGCCTAACTATAGATTTTTAGGGAGGTCTTGGTTTGGTCCCCTGCCTTCTTTTTAACTCTTTTTAATATACATTTGGAGGACAACATTTTGTTATTCCTCTTTGATAAAAACAAGAAAAAAATTTACATCTAGTATCTTTTTCTAAGACCTATTATGAAAAATTCAAAATACTTTTAGAATTTGTAAATGTACTTGCGAAAGCATCATCAATATAATTTTTTTTTTAATTTTAGATGTATACTTACGATGTCATCTATTATTAGTTGATCTCGAAAGTTTACGTGCGAATTATAAAAATAGGAGGTGAATTTGCAGATGCATTTGTGAATTATGTTATGTGTTATTTTTTTATAAAAAAGTTAAGTTAATTCACAAGTGCACTTGCGAAAGATACTGATATGTGAATTTGCAAGTTACATTTGTAAAAAATATTTTTAAGTTTTCAGTAATAAAAGTCATCACTATTAAATATAAAGAGAAATTTACTAAATTTAAATTTGTTAGTCTAAATAAAAAAATATATAAAAATTATTTTAAAATTTAATAATAAAAATAAAAGAGTCAGACGTTTTTAATAGAAAATAATCAATGAGAATTCTTTTTGTAGAAAAATGAATTATTAGCAAAAATATTAATTGAAAATTTCAATAAAAAATAATGAGTGAGATTTTTTTTAGAAAAAAGAATTATTAATTGTGAGAAGAGAAAATTAATATAAATTATAAGAACAAAAAACTAATTGAAAATTTCAATAGAAAATTATTATTGAGATTTTTTTATAGAAAACAGATTTATTAACTGTGAAAAGAGAAGAAAAAAAATATTAATAAAAAGAAGAATTTAATTAGAATAGTGTAAAAAAAAATTTAAATCGTTAATAAATAATAACTATTAAATTATAAATTATGTTTTATTTTTACTTTAATTATTTATTAAATATTATCAGTGAATAATTGTGATATATTAATCATGTAAAAAGTTTTAGAGTGACGTTGTAAACCAATTAATCCTTAAAAAAAAAAATCCATTCCAACCTCATTCACATTTCGTAGTACATTTATTTTTACTATCTTTTGAGTTTATATAGCATCCACATCAAACCAATAGTTTAGGTAATATTTATTTTTATTCTAACACTTTTCCCTTTAAAATCGCGTGTACGTCACGAACACATAAATCGCGTGACCAAATCATCAAACAACATAACGTGAAACAGATGAAACTCTAGTTCAACGGTTACCACGCGGCGTTTTCTTCATGTTCCATCTTACATTCGACAAACACAAAAAAAAAAAAAAACAATAAAATTATTATCATTATCAAATAGTATTAAAAATCAAAAACCTTTGTGTCCCTTTCTCTCTCTTGTCTTTCTCTCACTTCACCCCTCCACGATTTCCTCTTCTTCCTTTGTACTACCACCTCCATCTTTTCCTTTCTTTTTTCCCAAAGATATCACCTTTTTCTTTCACACTCCAAACCCTTTTGTTTTCCCACCTCAAATTTCCATCTACAATCAAGATTCTCTCAATTCTTAAACCAACATGGATTTCACTGTGTTCTTCTCTGTGTTCATGCTTCTTCTTGGTATGAGTTTTGCTGGTGATATAGTACACCGTGATGATAATTCTCCCAAGAGGCCTGGATGTGAAAACAACTTTGTTCTGGTACTAAATTACTAATCATTATATTATCATAGAAAATTTCAATACTTGCTTATGTTTTAGATTTCTTATTTCTTTTTGTATTCTATCAGTATCTTAGGCTCTTTTTTATTTTTTATATATCTTTGTGAATGTATTAATCTCTAGCATTACTTTGTGTGTTCCAAAAATTACCCTTTATTAAAGGTGAGAAAAAACTTTGTAGATAGGTGATTCATAGTATAGTGGTATCTATTTATAGATTTAAGGACTGTTTGGATTAGTTTATTTGAGTTTTTATACTCACATAAACATTTGTGAGACTGTTCCAGAGGTGTCAGTACATTGTTTTCAGCTTATTATAAGCTCTATAAGATAGATTGTGACAGCAGCTTATAGCTTTTATGGAAAAAAAATTGACTTTATTTAATCTTTTGTTATAGAAATAGCTTATTCATATAAGTACTTATATGATAAGTGTTTATGTTATAAGTATGTATGAGTTCATATATTGACATAAACATTTGTGAGACTGTTTGAGAGAACTTATGTAAATAGATTATGAAATGTCAGTACATTGTTCTCAGCTTATAAGCTCTTGAGGATAGCTTGTGACAGGGGCTTATAGCTTTTATGAAAAACAATTTGGCTTTATTTAATCCTTTGTTTGTTATAGAAATAGCTTATTCATAAGTGCTTATATGGTAAGGATTTATGTTATAAGTATGTACGGCACATTGACCGATTTTTCTTTCCTTAGGTTAAAGTTCCAACTTGTATTGATGGTGTGGAAAGTGGCGAGTATGTCGGTGTTGGTGCAAGATTTGGCCCTACATTGGAATCAAAAGAAAAGCGTGCAAACCATACTAGAGTTGCCATTGCAGACCCTCCTGATTGTTGTAGCAGTCCTAAGAATAAGGTATTCGAGTTTTATGCTATAGAACTTACTGAATAATAATATGGAACTTCTTCTGTGAATGCTAAGCTAAGCATAGAATCATCGAAAGCTCTAAATTTTTAGTTTATTAATAATTTGTAATATCGAGTGCCTTGAAATTTTGTTAGCTTACGGGCGAGGTCATTTTGGTGCACCGAGGACAATGTAGTTTCACAACCAAGGCAAATATAGCTGAAGAAGCTGGTGCTTCGGCCATCCTGATTATAAATAACCGTGCAGGTTTTTGCATGCAATTTTTTTCTTTTCCAAAATGCATATCAAGACCTGTTAAGTAATTTTCTTTCTTACCATCAATACAAAAATTTCAGTTTAAGGTTATAGGTAATAATTCTTCGCTTCTAACATGTTAGGAAAAAAAAGGCTTTTTAGTTTAAGAAATAATTTTGTATCGTTATTTTGCAGAACTTTTCAAGATGGTTTGTGAAAAGAATGAAACTGATGTTGATATTGGAATACCCGTTGTCATGCTTCCACAAGATGCTGGTGAAACCTTAGAAAATTATATACAAAATAAGTCCACAGGTATGTTTCACTTCTTCTGCGAACGTGTCTGTTATTTTGTAATCGATTATGCTTTCCTTGGCCACTGGTTCTGTGTCTTACATGTTTGCTCGCTCTTAAAGTTTCCGTGCAGTTATACTCTCCACGGCGTCCATCGGTCGATGTTGCAGAAGTATTTCTATGGCTTATGGCTGTTGGTACCATTATCTGCGCTTCTTACTGGTCCGCCTGGACAGCCAGAGAGGAAGTTATTGAGCGCGAGAAGCTATTAAAGGTTTACCTGGTTCCTTTTCATTTCAAATGTATTAGTTTTCTCATGATAGTAATATATATAGAACTTTTACGATTTCAGGATGATTCAGATGAGTATATAAATAAGGAGAATGCTGGTTCGAGTCCTTATTTGGAAATAAGTACTACAGCAGCAGTTTCGTTCGTTGTGATTGCTTCTTGTTTCTTGGTTATGCTTTACAAACTAATGGCGTTCTGGTTTGTTGAAGTTCTGGTTGTTCTATTTTGCATCGGAGGAGTGGAGGTCAGTTATTATTTTTTTCTAGGCTTTTTCTTTATTGTTGATACAGAAGCTGAATCTTTAGTTTTTTCATGCTTTCAGGGACTGCAAACTTGCTTGGTAGCTCTTTTATCATGGTAAGTCTCGTGTATCGTTGTAATGTCGACTTCACGAGATGCTTTATTCTGTTAAGTTCACTTGAAATGATATCGAATTGACCAGAAAATGTTTTATAGTTTCGGCTGGTCTCAACGTGCTGCGCAAACATACGTGAAAATACCTTTCTTCGGTGCTCTCTCATATCTCACGCTTGCTGTTACTCCCTTTTGCATAGTGTTTGCTGTGGTTTGGGGAGTTAAACGCCGTGTATCGTACGCTTGGATTGGTCAAGATATTCTTGTAAGACTAGTTCTTTTACTTTTCCATTGTTTGTTTCGACAAATTCCTATTTCTCTGGAATTAGGAACGTATTTCTTAATCTTCTACTTTCAGGGTATTGCTTTGATAATTACAGTTCTTCAGATTGTCCATATACCAAATCTCAAGGTGATGATTATTCAGACCATATTTTTTACTCTTTCTGGTTTTGAATGCGGATTCACTACGAAAAACAACACTAATGTATACATTCTTTTCATAAGGTTGGAACTGTTCTTCTCAGCTGTGCCTTCCTATATGACATCTTCTGGGTGTTTCTCTCTAAATTAATATTCCATGAGAGTGTGATGATAGTGGTTAGTGTTTCAAGAAATCTGTCATTCCTACCATTTTTTCACAGTTTGATTTTGTTCTCCTATTTCTCCTTTAAAACACACACTTTCGTTTCTTTACAGGTAGCTCGCGGTGATAGGAGTGGAGAAGATGGTATTCCAATGCTGCTTAAGATACCGCGTATGTTTGATCCTTGGGGTGGTTACAGTGTCATCGGTTTCGGGGACATAATCTTACCGGGGCTTCTAGTAGCCTTTTCATTAAGGTTGAATTGAAAGTCTCGCATGGAGCTCTTATGTGTCTTATTAATGGTTCATGAACTTGATTATTCTGTTAAAAACTTTACAGGTATGATTGGTTAGCGAAGAGGAATCTTCGATCAGGATACTTCTTGTGGGCGATGAGTGCATATGGTTTAGGTATGCTATGTTTGATCTGGGTTATGTTTTTTTGATAGGATATGTCATCCGAGTAATTTTCCTCAATTATGCTTGGATTACTGTTTATATCATGTTTTATGAATCTCGATCTACAGGTCTCCTCGTCACATACATAGCTTTGAATTTGATGGACGGACGTGGTCAACCAGCTTTGTTGTATATAGTCCCATTTACCCTTGGTTAGTAAATTTGAATCACAGAACAAACACTGGTTATTGTGCATAAAAAATATTTGAATCTTCTCCATTTGGCTGTTGAATGCATCCACTATTGTCAATCACATAACATAGCGGTTTGTACGCTAGCGCTGCATCAAAACTAGTACAATTTTTGAAACATTCTTTTCTGTATATGCAGGAACCTTTTTGTCATTGGGAAAGAAGAGAGGTGAACTCAAGATTTTGTGGACAAGAGGGCAACCAAAATTGCCTTGCCCTCACATCCAAGAGGATCATCAACCAACGGACCATTAATCTCCAACAGAATAGTGTTGTAGGTTTAGTTTTACAGGAGACTTATATAACAGCAAATCTTAGAAGATTATGTTACATTTGTAGATCTATCATAAGTATAACAAAATTTCAGCCAAATGATATCATGCACAAACGTGTACAGTTAAATCAGCAGCTGAGATTTGAGATATCATCCTAACATATTGATGGATCTTTTTTCATTTTCCATTTCATTGGCATGGTTCGCTTCTCAACATCATGAACTATCATCGTAAGAAAATATGATAGTGATATGACTAGTAACAAGTAACAATACTTCTAAGGTAAACTTTAATAATAGTATCAAAATGCGTAAAACACCATCAAATTTCAATCTATTTTTCACCTAGCATAACATAAACCAACAGGCACAAATAAGCCTTTAAACCTTTTTTTTTCCATCTAACAGTACATAAATCATCAAGGTACAAATGAACCTCTAAATCAAAACTCATAAAGGAACAAACCAAAGACGAATGCACAAGTTATATACGTCCCTTACAAGTTACAAGCTCAGAAAACAGTTTTTATTTCTGAATCTTTCCTATAAAGTGCAATAGATAGCCCACAGCAGCATCAAATTGTGCCTGGACTAAGCACCAACAATGAAGTGCAGGAATAAAGTTAAGCAGTTAATCGGAAAAATAAAAACAGCTGACATGCCACACTTTTCTAGCGATTGTCAGCAACTCTCAAAATTGTTCCAGCCGTTGGCCAGATGGGTAGGCTTGTGCAGATTCATTTCCATTGAGTCCTACCAGTCCTGTTACATGAAATACCATAAACGTAAGAAATGGTATGAAACACTATCAATTTTAACACCAAAAGACAAGCCATAATCAAGTGAAAGTTCTTTATAAATAACACCCTGAATAAATTTGAACTCAAACAAATGAGATAACAAAACAGACTACTGTTTCAGGAGGAAAAGTTGATAGTACATGATAAGATGCAATTTTTACTCCGCGTAGCAGGGTATGCTACTATGTCAACAGGCTACATGTATAAAATCAGGACACGTCATAGTTTTGACTGTTGGATAGGAATTATCTATTCAATGAATCTAACAGTACATCAATGTAGTGGAGGCTGGGGCGGCAATGTGCCACCACTCATTCTCATCCATTGAGTATAAGCATAAAAAAATCCAGAAAAACGAATATGAAAATGAATGGAATGGAATGCCAAGAATACTATTGCTATACTGTCAGCTACTAAAAAGGAGTTTAAAAGTTCAGCTAGCATATCACGGATAAGTAAAATGACCGCAGACAGATAGAAAAACCTTTCAAATATTTCGCCTTAGAAGACCATTCCCGTTGGAAGCAAAAAGCGTTGACTTCCTTTCTTGCCCTGATGATAAAAATTCTTGCATCCTTTCTGGCCAGTCGGAATTTAAACGACGGGCAAAATCTTCTACTTCCCTGTGTCAAAGAATCAAATAAATAAGAACCTGTGTATGTATCATTTTAAAAGCACAGTTGTATAACCATCATGAAAACACCCCTAAATATCAAATTGATATCTTTGTAGCCGAAAATGAATGTGGAAAAGAGATATGGGGAATACACTTAACAAGAATGTCATGAACAAAGAATTGGATCTAACTCAAGTGGGTAAGAGTAAGGTTGGTTAAATAGTAAGCTTAATCAATAATAGATGCAAAGTATTAAAGGTTGATTTGTTAATTACTTAGGAGAAAGGGAAGAGGAATTAGTTGTCATCCTAAGCAAGTAAGTTTGAATGAACGGCCATCATTGTTGAGATCTCTATTATTGGGTCACCCACAATTGTCGACGCTTCAGATGTCCAATCTTGATTATGAAGTGTGTTGAGATCCCACATGAACTAAAGATATGGCCAAACTAGTCCTCATAAGGCTTGAGCAGCCCTCACCGTCGTGAGCATTTGCTGGGGTTGAGTTGGGTTCAATTCTAAATTCTAAGAATCCCCATTTTTCCACTCATAAGATGTTTAATCTTGAGCGTGAGAGGTTCTGATGAGATCAACATCGACTAGAGATGTGGCCAAATTAGGTCTTTATAAGGGTTAGTTTTTGGGTTTGAATTCCGCTCAGACAAAACTCTAAGAATTCTATAAGCATGTATGAACATATGAAAATAAACTAAAAACAACATACATACAATTCATAAACAATTTTCATAAACCCTTCTAGACATTTACAATGTGTTTGCGCCATAAGTTAAACCTAGATAAGTTTTTCCAAATGCTCCCTATGTTGACCAAAGTTACACTCAACTAGGAAGCCAGAAGTAATATTTTTAGATAAATTTATCAAGAGGAAAGGCCACAGACCAAATCAAAACCATTATCATTACCTAGCCATTGGTTTTACAATATTCAGGATCATGAAAAATCCATAGTTAGACTGTATGAGATACAATATTGCTAAGTTTATCATTCTCCTCCAAAACCAAGACCAAGATTTTAAATTCAAGTCTAAAATCCAACAAAATTTAACTAAACGTTGTCAAGCCTCGTTCTCTGGAGAACACAGAGCACAACCACTTCATTTCATTTTCAAGTTTTCATTCCACTATAGATGATCCAAAAAGTACATTTTGTAAAAGGATAGAGTTCAATCATTCAGACGACTTCCACTGCATATGCCATCTACTACATATAAATATATTCAGCAATGCCACTGACCACTAAAGACAAGAAAAACTAGAGATCTGCAACTGCGACTATGCTAAAGACAGTAATAGGTTGACAGCCATCGACAAAAAATAAAAATTAGATTGTATAAGCAATCAGTGCAAATATTGCACTTCGAATGGAGCCCAACCTGTCAATTTTTTCCTGTAGTGCAGGATCAATCTCATCATCTACATCTCCATCATCGTCATCATCAAACTCTTTATGACTAAATGTGTCATCTTCTGTATGATTATTTGAGGTTCCAGCGATTTTATCAGATACAGAACTATGACCACTTAACTCCTATTGCAAGAAAACAGGCAAAAATCTTTTAGAATTTATATGATAAATAATTGAGTTTGTTTGTTAGGAGAGGAAAAGAACATGATATATAGAGTAACCTTTTTCGGTTTGGAAGCTTCAGTTAAAAGAGAGCTCTTCTTCTGCTCTTTTTTCCTTCTATTCTTCTTTTTACTCTTAGAAGTTTTGGACCCTTTTGAATCTGCAAAAAATCATTCACCTGTAATTAGCCATTCAAAGGAAACAAACTGGAACATAATTTAAGAACCTATAGCTTTCAAATGATTCCTACGCAAAAACGAATTACACTACAGTTTTAAATGAGCGCAATAATGGATTTTATGGCCTTAAGTAGGGTTCATTTCAACATTTGATTGATCATATTAGAATTCAATCTTTGTGGAGGTTAATCAATCTACAGGTAGAAAGCAGGAAAAATTCCATAAAAGCAGGGGATAAAAGATTTTTAATTTACCTTCATCATTTCCATTAATAAAAGACAAAAGTTCATCAACCGAGCGTTCATCTACATGCTCTCCTTCTAATTCAGCATTCTGAAACATGCGAGACCAATTCTTAATCAAGTCAATAGTCTACAGTTTAGAACATAATATAAAGAATAGATGCAAGCAAACATCTGTCAGCATTTAGAAATAAAGAGAACATTGAACAAAGGACATATACTGTACCTTTAATCTCCCACGCTCTTTTAGCTCTTTCCTTTTTTTCGCATACAACCGGTTCAAAAGCCTTATCCTCGGGTCATCGGTTGTGTTTTTCAGAGGCTCCAACTTCTCTTCCTGGAACAAAAGTACGTGTGGAAAATGAAAATTGATCACAAAAGGCATAATCAGCATACAGAGTTCTCGCAAGCACAACACACCTCTGTGAGATCATCCGGCAAATGAAATATCTCCCGTATCTCCTCGGGAGATTTTCCTTCAATTATTCTTGCAAGTGTGCGACTTGTAAGATCAACCAGCGGCCTCAACTGAAGGCTGTCTGCGGCAGATGTCAAATCACAGAGTCGTTTGGTATCCATCCTTATGAATCTTTCATCATGAGACTTTCGTTCCTATACCAATAATACTCCCTATGTTAAATCATCTATGGCATTCATTGTTTTTCAGCCTTAAATTGTGTTGTATAGAGAAAATGATGGTGGAAAAGCATTAAATAAAGAGGTAGAACCTTGTTGGAGCGACCTGGTACTTGATGAAAACGACAATAATCAAGAACTAAACTCAACATAGCAGGAGTGACTTTTTCAGGAAGGCATATGGCACAATTTTTGGAAGAACCGGCGCCTTTTTGTATAATTTCTTGACAAATGAAAGGGCAAAACATTGCGATTTCTTGCTCCACCTGTTGGATGGAACCATCCGAAGTCTGAAGCCAAATATAGGGCTTCATCATCTGAAAATGAAAATTAATATCAATATAGTTTAAGTTCAATGTAAAAGGTAAGCAAAGCAAGGTATTGATTCTATAGTAGGGCTTTTTAATTAGATTCCAGTGCAAAGATTTGGTCTTTCCAAATAAGGCAGGTAGAGAGAAAACCATTAAATACATTTTTCTTCTGATTCTCCTCACAATGTATACAACAACAACAACAACAACAACAACTAAGCTTTATCCCACTAAATGAGGTGAGCTACATGGATCAACTTCCGCCATAATGTTCTATCCAGGACCATGTTTCTATTCAAATCGTTAATCTCGAGATCTTTCTTACTAACTTCTCTTATAGTTTTTCTAGGTCCTCCTCTACTCTACCTCTATTTGTTTGACTCCTCTCCATCTGATCTACTCTCCTTACCAAAGAATTTAGATGTCTTCTCTCTACATGTCCAAACCACCTAAGTCTATTTCCCACCATCTTTTCTACTATAGGTGCTACCCGAACACTCTCTAATATTGACATTTCTAATCTTTATCTTGTCCAGTTTTACCACTAAACCAACGGAACATCCTCATCTCTCCTACACTTACTTTATTTTCGGGTTAGATTCTCGTGTACAACAACAATGATAAAAAAAAAATCAATTAGGTTTAGCTCTGAATGCTATAAAAGAGATAACAACACCGAGCTTATTCAAGCATTCAAGGGGTATGTTAAAGAGAGATACAAATATGGAAGAAGTAAGATATCATAATACCTCTGGTTTAATAACTGACATGTCGATCTCCGACATCTTAAACCAATCCGAAAACTAAAATCTGTTGATATTCAAAGTTCCTTGAAGGGAGTAAACAATATTTGCTGAAGTAGAAACTTAACCTTCTAGTCCAGAAAATCACATAACAGATTTAAATACTTCTTCCCTCAGAATTAAGCTGTGGCAGCAACATTTCACATTTCTCAAATGTACATTGTTCACCAAAGAATTTGCAGTGATAAACAAATCTCCTTACCACAAAGCACAAAGCATACACTTGCAAAAAAGAAGAATGAAGAATAATTCACCACCTTCCAAATTAAAAGTGAAAGCTGCAAAGTCATAAATAAGAAAGTCACTATTTTTGCTAGCTATCTAAACAAGAAACAAAACATAAGCACTTCTTCATCACACTATGGATTCCAATAACACTAAACCCCTTCAAACACACATTGAAGAGTAAGGAACAAGTTAAATTTTACAATTCCTATTACAAAATAAATAACTATTAGCACCCACCATTTTGCTTATGTCAACATTTCTACAAACCAGACAAAAGGAAAATTCAACAATAACAAAAGAAGATTAAAAAACACATTTTGAAGAAAACCCATGATTCTATACAACGAGGTAAGGTGATAACAACTAAGGTAAGGCAAAAAATGAAACAATGGTAAACATTCAAATGGAGCAAGCCAATCCATGCGTTATAGGCATTTGTGGAGATAGAGAGAGATGGGGAGAGAAAAGGGAAAAGGGGTTGAGCGTGAAGTACCTGAGAAGACAGAGAGGGGGAAGGAATTGCTTTGAAATGGAGGGAATTGGCGGTTGTCGGCGATGAACAGAAATGGATAGATAGAATAGAAGAGAGAGAAAGAAGAGAGAGAAAGGGGATTTTGGTTTCGATGAGAAAATTAAAAAGAAAAAAAATTGAGGTTCTTTTTTTGTTGGGCTATGGATTTTACTTTTGGGCTAGAGTCAATTTCAAGTTTTGAATTACTAGTTACACTACTTACTTTACTTATACTAACAGACCTTTTGTTAAATTGTAATCCAATGTGTCGAAACTATGTGTCGAAAAGATTTGATTTGTTTTAGATTTAAATAGATTTGATTTAAGTCTAGAATAAATTAGATTTGATTTAGTAACAAAAAGATATTTTGGGCTTTGGGCTTAGGGTGTAAGCTCAGTTATAAATAGAGGGAGTAACCCCTATTTTTGTAAGCAAGTCATTCACAGTATTTTACAGTTGCAAAGTGAATAAGAAAGTTTTCACATTTTGTGAGCAGAGAGAAACTCTGTAGAAATAATTGCATTGTCTTCTTTTCTTTGTTTGTCTCATAATTAACTTGTCATTGTGGTAGAAATTCATCATAGTCTTTAGGTGGATTTCCAACATCTGGTATCAAGAGCTTTGTTTCGATTCAAGGGAAGTGTCAATCAAGAACGATTGAAGAATTCACGATGACAAGTCATGGGAATGTAAATTATCCAGCAACCCTACCAATTCTGAAAGTTGACAACTATGAGAATTAGTGCAAACAGATGAAAGCCTTATTCAGGTGTCAAGGTCTTTGGGACCTTGTAAAAGATGGAGTCGAAGCGCTTGGAGAAAATGCTTCAGAAGAAGAAAAGAAAAAATACATAGAATCTGAGAAGCTGAGTTATAAAGCATTATTTATAATTCATCAATGTGTCAGCCCAGACAATTTCAAAAAGGTTAGTGATTCAGAATCTGCAAAAGAAGCTTGGGAAATCCTTGAGAAGTCTTTTGGAGGCGCTGAGAAAGTGAAAGAAGTGAGGTTACAAACTCACAAAAGGACCTATGAACTGCTTCAGATGGAAGACAGTGAAAGCATATCTGATTTCTTCACTAGAGTTACAAAACTAGTAAATCAAATCAAGATATGTGGAGAAGCGTTAACAACAAGAGTTGTTGTGTCGAAGATCTTGAGATCTTTAGCTCCTAAGTTCGACCACATAGTAGTGGCGATAGAAGAGGGGAAAGACTTGTCGAAATTGACAAAGGAAGAGCTTCAAGGGACGCTTGAATCTCATGAACAAAGAATGAACGAAAGAGCTGCAAGAAAATCGAAGAGTGATGTGGCCTTGCAGGCACATTCAGCAAAAGAGATCAAAGGCAAAGGAAAGTGTTTCGACAGAGGTAGAGGTGGCTACAACAAATCGAATGGTAGAGGAAACCAGATTGAAGGAAATGTGTCGAATCAAAGAAGATCATACCAAGGCAACCAAAGAGGTGGTGTTGCAAATAGAGGAAGAGGTGGTGGTCGAAAACCTGATAAGAGTCACATTCAATGTTACAATTGTCAGAAGTATGGTCACTATTCGAGTGATTGTCCAGAAAACGAAAGAATCAAGAAAGTGATGCAAAGCTTGCAAAACATGAAAAAGAAGAAGAAGAGATGATGTTGATGGTCACAACAAGAGATGAAGATAGATTCAAGGACCAATGGTACTTGGATTCAGGATGTTCATCACATATGTCTGGAAGGAAAGACTGGTTCGTCAATATAAAGCCCTCAATGAAAAATATGGTAAAATTTGCAAATGACAATACCCTAGCACCTGAAGGTATTGGTGATGTTATGATTATGAGGAAATATGGCAAAAGGTCAGTAATCTCCAATGTGTTGTACATACCAGACATGAAGAGCAATTTGCTCAGTATAGGGCAGTTGGTCGAAAAGAATTATAAAGTGTCAATCGAAGATAAGATGATGAGAGTCGTTGATGCAAATGGGAGATTAATCTTGAAAGCTCCTATGTCTCAGAATCGAACCTTCAAGATTGAACTAAATGTGATGGAGCACAAGTGACTTTCGACTGCAGCTAGCGGAGATGAACGGATATGGCATTATAGACTAAGCCATCTCAACTTCAGAGACATCAGAGATTTGAAGAGAAGAAATATGGTTTCAGGATTGCCAGAAATTGACATTCCAAACAAGGTATGTGAGGAATGTGTGCAGGCGAAGCAACACAAGAATAGCTTCAACAAGGATGTAGGAAGCAGATCGAAGGCTAGTCTTGAAGTCATATACTCTGATGTATGTGGACCAATCCAGGTGGATTCGATGAGGGGTAATAAATACTTTGTCACATTCATATATGATTTCAGTCGAAAGCTATGGACTTACCTGATCAAGAAGAAAAGTGAAGTGATCGAAGTATTTACCAAGTTTAAGTCTATGGTCGAAAGACAAAGTGGTCGAAAGCTCAAAGTTTTGAGAACTGATGGTGGTGGAGAATATATGTCGAAAGACTTCGACAGATTATGTGAAAAGGAAGGGATTGTGCATGAGGTGGTGCCACCCTATACTCCACAACAAAATGGAATTGCATAAAGGAAAAATCGAACCATCATGAATATGGTGAGAAGTATGTTGAAAGGCAAGAATTTACCTAAAGAGTTTTGGGGTGAAGCTGTTTCGACTGCAACATACATTTTGAACAGATGTCCTACAAAGAAGCTAGAAGGAATTACTCCAGAAGAATGTTGGTCTGGTGTGAAGCCTAGCTTGAGTCATCTGAAGGTATTTGGATCTATTGCACATAGACATGTGCCAGATCAGTTGAGAAGAAAACTTGATGATAAGTCAAGTCAAATGATTCTAGTTGGATATCATTCGACAGGAGGCTACAAGTTGTTCGATCTAGTGAAAAAGCAGATTATGATCAGCATGGACGTGATCATAGATGAGTTTAAAGAATGGGATTGGACTAAAAATATCAAGAAAGATTCAATGGGAATCCTTCTTGAAGATCCAGAAACTCAAGTCGAAAGAGAAGTTCGACAAGAGGAACCAGCAGATATACCAAGTACAAGCAGGCCTCAAAGAACAAGACGCGTGCCTGCAAGATTGCAAGATTGTGTGATTACATCAGCTGATGTAATAGATAATGAAGGTGAGCTGGTACATTATGATTTCTATGCAGATGTCGAACCCGTTAATACAGCTGAAGCATTAAAGGATTCGAAGTGGGTGAAAGCAATGAACAAAGAAGTAAACTCTATCGAAGACAACAACACTTGGTCACTTGTCGAATTGCCTCAAGGCAAGAAGGCAATTGATGTCAAGTGGGTATACAAAGTGAAAACAAATTCGAAAGGTGAAGTAACTCGACACAAAGCAAGACTTGTGGCGAAAGGATTTCTACATAAAGAAGGAATAGACTTTGATGAAGTTTTTGCACCAGTTGCTAGGATCGAAACAATCAGGTTGGTTGTTGGTCTAGCAGAAATAAACAGTTGGCACATATGTCAGATGGACGTGAAGTGTACATTCCTAAATGGACCCTTAGATGAAGAAGTTTATGTTAAACAAACAGTTGGGTTTGTGAAACATGACGAAGAAAGAAAGGTGTACAGGCTACATAAAGCCCTGTATGGATTGAAACAAGCTCCAAGGGCTTGAAATAAGAAAATTGATAGTTTTCTAAGGGAGAAGGAATTTGTGAAGTGCACAACTGAACATGGAGTATATGTAAGAAGAAGCAAGAGTAAATTGCTTATACTATGTCTCTATGTAGATGATTTGTTGATAACAGGTAGCTGTAAAAGTGAGATCGAAGACTTCAAAGGTGATCTCAGCAAGGAATTCGAAATGTCTGATTTGGGTGAGATTTCATATTTCCTTGGTATCTAATTCTACAAGAGCAGTAGAGGTTTGATGATGCATCAAAGAAGATATGCAGGAGAATTCTCAAGAGGTTTGAGATGGAAGAATGCAACTCAACTTCGACACCTGCAGAACCAAGACTGCAACTGTCGAAGGATGCAGATGAAGATGATGTTGATCCAACCCAATACAGAAGACTTATTGGATCATTGAGATACCTTTGTCATACAAGGCCTGACTTAGCATATAATGTAGGTATGGTAAGTAGATTCATGCAGAAGCCAAAGGTATCACATCTAGCAGCAATGAAGAGGATACTAAGGTATCTCAAAGGAACTTTCAATTATGACATTTTGTTTCCTGCAGTTGATAAAGGAAAAGAATGCAAGTTAGTC